GAAATGGAAATAAAAAAGGACACTGTTTCATATTTTTCACTATGAAAGTACAGACAGAAATGTGCCGATTTTGCTCATTGATAAAGCAAGTGCACATGTTTTTTTGTTTCCATCACAGTCAGAGTTTATTCCCTGAAGCATCTATCTTTGTGAAGACTTTGTGATAAAAGAGGAATACTTAAACAGTTAATAGTTACCCTATTGTTCTTAAATTGGCACTTACTAGTGTGTCTTTAACTCTTTGTTTCTAGTGATGTTTCTAGTTTTTAACTGACCAAAATAAAATCTCTCTTCCAAAGCTTGTCAGGTCAGACTACACTCAAAAAATTCAGCCAAAAATCATACAGCTGGTGATGGAAAAGTCTTAATTTAGATGTACTTCTAAGGATGCTGATAATCATACAGAGATCACAGACCTCACATCAAACAGCTCCAGTATTTGTTGACAAATTTATGATTTTTTTTTTAAAGACAGGCCCTGATGACTCTCAGCTGCAGAGTTTTAATTGCTTTCATCTCTAGTTTCAGTGTTAATCGTTTTCGTAACTAAGACAAGTCTGACATCTGTAGAGTAATCTTCTAAAGGAATTTCATTTTAAGATTTGTTGGAAAAGAAAATGGTGTAATGTGTATTTTTTTTGTGGAGAGTGGTAGTGCACTTCAGAAGATCAGTTTGGAAAAATCAGAGCTCCAGCTTCTATATTTTGTGACGTCGTATCTGCGTATAAACAACAGAAGCATCCACCTGTGTGAACTGCTCCATGGTTTTTCTCAGGTCCTCCATATCCTGGCTGTACTGCTCCCTCAGACTCTCCATCTCTTTGTCGTGGCACTCCACCTCCTCCTTTAGTGCCCCCTTCAGGGCCGTCAACTCCCGCTCTCGCTGGCGTAGCGTATCTTCTAGACGCTGGCGCAGAACGGTGGCCTCAGCCAGCTGGGCCTGCAGAGCGGCCACATCCTGCAGAGAGGAAAAAAAAGGCACATTCAGATGGGTGCAATGGTGAGTTTGTTTGTGCATGCGTAACTGTGCAGCGTCCTGACCGTCTGCATCGAGTCTGAATGAGATGAGTTTTCGGAAACCCTCCTCAGTTCTTCCTGAAGCTCAGCTAGCTGATCTTCCAGCATATGCAGACGTGATTCTGCGATTTCTCTGGCGATACGCTCCTCGGCCAGTCTGAAACACACACGCAGTCAGTGCTGCAACAGTGAAAATATGCTCCAAAACAGCACAGATGCAAAACGTTGGAGTTTTGTTTTAAAACCACACACACTTACTCTTCCTGGGCTTGCTGCAGTTCTTTTTTGAGGCGTTTGATTTGCTCCTGAAGTTCCTCAAGATTCCCTGTTTTGAGGCTTCCATCAGATCCTTCCTTCTGCAGAAAATGAAACACAGACACACACACACACACACAAGGAGAAGAAGAGACTAAAGGTAAGACGAGGAGAAAACAGCAAAGGGACAAACACAAAGAGGAAGGCTGGAGCTAGTGCCACTTTCGGCCTTGCAATGCATTATGCACTCTGTATTATCTTAACCTTTGAAAGAAAACCCCTGGCTTGGATTCTTTGCCCTAGTTTCTGACAGTCAGAAAATCTTTGGGAGAACAAGCCCTGCCAGTGCGCTCAGATATCGTCAACACAGACGCTCTCCCCACAGAAGCAGCTCGTTCTGACAGGCTGCAGGGGGAAAAAGAGCCGGAGAAGCAGCAAAAAGCTCGCTCTTCGCCCACACCGCTCTGCCGTTCGGAAAGGCCTCCTTCTCAGTGAAAAAGGGGGAATAAGCGCAGCCTGCCTGCCCATGAAACTCCTCTTATCCTCCTACACACTCATTACAAGGACGCACACACGGAGAAGAAAGAGACAAAGCGAGGATCACGGACGATTCTGCTCCTCGGGGGACTCTTTCACATTTCTGTTACTTATCATTGATTATGAAGATATATTTTGTTTTCACTTTCTTCTCGGCCCCCGCAGGACAGACTGTAGATAATCCCGTTCTGGGACATTGCTCTCTATCCTCACAAAAAGATAATTAAAAGAGGATAAAATAATAAGGGAATAAGTGTAAGCTCTTCTGAGCACTCTGTATGAATTGCATCAGCTGTATAATGATGTGTATTAACAATTTTAAAAAAAAAGAGCCTTTCTTGCTGGGTCTACAGTTCAAAAGTTTAGCAGTGTTGGAGGTATGTATAATGTTAACCCTGCATTTAGTTCAGAACACTAAATAGAATAAAACGTATCTACCAATTTCTTGTTTTTGTTCCTAAAGATGTGGTAGATAAATCTTAATATTTACGTAAAGCTAACCTGAGTAAAAGCAAAATGGAGATTTTGAATGATGCCCCGTTTAAAAAAAGCAATTACCCCACTTGTTAAATCATGAATTAATA